TGTGTGTACTTCGGCAAAAATGTTTTTTAGTACAAACATGCTATGTAACGTTCGATTGTATTTAGATGAAGTGGGAAACAATCGTCTCTTTCTATACAGAAAATAAATGTTTTAAAAAGTTTATCCTGTCATAAGAAAATTTAAACTGTGCTATTGAAGATGCGTGACTGTCAAAATTTTTACTTGATATACTCTGAAAACCTGTTACACGAGTACGTAGACATCAAAACTATATTATTCACGTGCATACATTTTTATCTGTAATCATTTTAGAGCGTGTAAATAAAGCAAAACATGAACAACATGTAAATGACAGAGGTAATACTCCAGTGTTAAGTTTTTCTTAGCCCAAGTGTAAACTTGGGCTAAGAAAATTATGATTCAGATTTACGCTAATCCAAGATTTAACTTCACCTTCAAATCTGTGGTTAGATAGGTTTTTTTGCCTATAATTTTTTTGCCGTAATTTTAAACATAACTTAAATAGCAAACTTGAATATCACATTGCATTACTTGAATATCTGTTTTGTAATAGCTTTAGAAATCCTATAAATAAACGGCAGGACGCTACATTTGCTCAGCAAAAAAAGTAATTTTTTTTTCCTTTCGTGGTTTCATCAAGATAATAAAAATCCAGGATCAGATACAATTCAGAAAATAGGGCTACTGAAAGCAATAAAATAATAAAAAATAAAGAAAACTACAGACATTCAAGAATACATTAGCTGCTTTTGAAACACACGTTGGATAGACTAATAGGTGTTTGGAGAATGTTTTCGATAAACAAGATACGTTTAGTAGCGATTTCGCTGGAAATAAGACTACGGATATTACGGCGACTAGGTGGATGCGAAACCACTTCCCACAAATGCACGCGCGAATGAAATATCTTAATTCCTCCCCTTCCTTCCGTATGAAGGGCACTTGAGGATACATAATGAGTGCCATTAGCTTAGGAGTCATAGTACTACATTTTTGCAGGAGAGGGGTCTTTAAAATCAACTGTGCCTTCACCGAGAATAAAAGCATAAATTTTCCAGTTGTTAACACATACCAGCGGTTCTCAACCTTTTGATTAACGCGTTACAAAGTACTACTACCACCACCATTCACAAAGCTCTGATCATATAAATTTACGAGTGTTAGAGAAAAAACTCAATCAGGATGTTGGGGTTTTAATTTTTGAATTTAAAAATTAAAAATACTTTGCTTCTTTGCGTACCACTCTATTTTTCTCTTGCGTACCACCAGTTGAGAACCCCTGACATATACCATCAAACCACAACAGCACTTGGGAGCAATGCTTATAATTCTTTGATACGTTACATTGTAAATTTTATTTTTACAACCTCACTTCAAGTTCGTGCATCCCAAAAAAATTATAATTCTTAACATTTTGCAGTATGTTTTATTAATTCATAGCCTACGTAAGAGTTTATTTTTAGACCTTTATTATGAAACGTATATATCGGGACATCAATTAAACTTTCACAAATTTCACAAAATACAGAACAATTTTCTTTAAAAAATGCTACCACTTTCTCTTCCGTCATCTCTACTCTTAAATAATATTTTCTGATTTATTTTTTCTATAGCTGTAGCGCCTCAGGTTTGCGCAAATTAAATTGAGCCATGCCAGAGTTACTTCGGCTTTCGCATTCTCCTAAAAGGGAAATAGACATCTGCGTAAAGTAGTTTACCTCGAGCAACTCTCCCGCCGGCCGTCTTTTCATATAATAAACAGGCGGGTAAATAAAATCACGGAAAGATTTCATGTCAACAAGGAGACACTTTTCTACATCCACTTTGGTGTTAAATTCGAGAAAGCAGGTTCCCTAAGTGCTTAAATCTAACTTTTCCTCTTTATCTTTGGCGGAATGCCAACTTTTAATACACATCTTTAAAGATGTTACTACACCAAACTAAAAGACAAAAATTTCTCTCGAACATGAGGTAACTCTAGCGCTGAAAATTAGTTTTTGTACATTTAAAAGTATTAACGCAGTCAATGGAACGTCGAAAAATTTTAAAAGGACTCGCTCTTCAACTTGCTATTGTCTAGAAGTTATTTATCTCTCAGAAATGCGTAAATGCGTAAAGTTAGGATATCTACATTCAATTTAATACAAAATTAAACTTTTTTTAATGTTTCCGTAATAATAATAAAACTATTTTTTAAAAAAACTGCATTTACTAATTACATGGACTTAACATTTTTCATAATTACCAAGCGTTTGAATTTGAACACAAAATTAAGTGCACTACAGCTTTAATTTATGTTCAGAGAAGCGCAAAAGTTGTCAATTAAACGGGACATGGCAGGTCAGCCTTAATTTATGTTCAGAGAAGCGTAAACGTTGTCAATTGTACATGATATGGTAGGTCTTAATTTCTGTGCAAAAATAACTATTTTAGATATATATATTAAACTCTTGTGGATACGACGGGGAATGTAGTTCAAGTATTATAAAGCACAATAGCACTTTGTAAAATGCTACATGTTAGATTCTGCTTGCAAATTTAAAGCAGAAAACGCAATATATTTCTTAATAGGTGCTTTACTCTTTGGACCTAAATGTGCTTTCAACCAATGGAGTTCAGTTATTAAAATTCTTCAATAAAATTACATGATATAAGTGTAAATTGTCATTTCTGTATCATTTTGCGGCCAATAACCATTATTGGCTTTGCTAGATATTTATGTAAATTACATAAAATTAATTTATGTAAATAAAATTAGTATTATAAATATATTTCTACTCAATACATTTTAGGAATTCGTAAAAGATTTGGAACACTTTGCTAAAATAGTTTTATAGAAATATTTCATGTATGTGGAAGATAACGAAAGCTCTCCAGAGTTTTGTAAGTAAGTAAAGTTTTCTTATTCCACTTTTAAAGAAAAAATATACAAACATTTATTATTATTATTATTGTTACATTAAAGCTTTTTTAAGTATAAGCTAGAAAAAGTAGTCTAAGCTTAAAAGAAGCAAAAATGAGCATAATCAACACAAAAATGGTATTTATAGAAGTAATTAATAATAATCTAAAGATACTAAACATAAAACAACGCAAACTTAGTTGAAGGTGTTGGAACATTATCTTAATTTTCTACCTAAAATATGCAATAAAAAGTAATCCTGACTCACCATTACACTGACACCCTGTGTTGGACATCAGGTATTCCTAAGCTATATTGTAAACTACAATAATAGTTTACTCAGCAGTCATTAGAGTTATCAGAATAACATACAAGCGGTCTATTCTCTTTCTTACATCAAGACTTAATTATTCGAAAACTGCAGTAATATACAAATTTCGAATAGTGAAAAAAAAAAGTGTTTAATTGAAACCTAATCTATTAGTTAATCTAATAATAACAATAACTTCAGAAGTTTGTTTCAAACTATACCCCTTTTTCATATTTATTTAATTCCGAATAAAGTCTCAGCTTGGAACTATAAAAGGATACATAAGTTTAAAAGAAGTTTAAAGCTTTATATAATAAGTAAAATCACTGAAACACAATTCCTAAACTGAAAAGGAAAAGTATATGGAATAGCTAATAATGATCACAGCATTAATTTCGTTCTTGTTAATTTGATTAAAAATGAGCCCAGAAAATTTCGAAGGACTTTAACAAGGTTTTTCGTTTAAATAATTGTTTTCATTTTAGGCTTTTTCTGCTTTATCTACAAGCCAAAAATCTTTACCGGAAAGTCAAGAGGGAATATATATCTCTATGACATACGTTAAATAGTTATTTCTAGTAAAACATTATTTGAAGTTTAGTATTCTTCTAGTCAAAAATAAGTTTTGTGCATTTACAATAATGAGGTAAACTAAAAGCTCTGAATTAATTTGTTTTTCACTGGATGCATTTCATTATGCAAATCTAATTTGAAATATTTTTTGCCAAACTTTCTTCGCTATTATTTATCTGATATTTACAGTTAGTAGTACTGTAGTCTACAAGATCTTCTCTCTTTTCTTTTGCTTTAAAATCGGCAAGGGGAAGGGAATAAAAAAAATAAATGTTACCTAAATGGAACTGACATTATTATGAGAATCCGTGTGGAACCGGTATTTTGGAAAACATTTTAAGCGCACTTTTTTTAACATCCTTATATCACAGGATTTGTGCTACAGATATGGCCACTTGATTAAGGGCTTTGATAAAATAAGCTGGTAAGAGCTTAGAAAATCGATTTAAAGAAATTAATTTAAATTTACGCGACTTGCGAATTTTGACTAGCATCGTTATGCTTTAAATAACAATTTTAATCTTTTCACTATAGGGTTTAGTTGTTACTGATCAGCATCATATGATTTATTTTTCTTTAACACGAGTCTTTCCTTAAATAACTAAATAAGTCAGGAATGGGCATAATATGAAACAGCATTTTTCATCATACGTTTTTAATGAAGCGCAACTAGGCGTGAAATGAAAATTTTTAATTTAAACATAAGTTTTAAAAATTGTTTCTAACGAAAACTTTATATGTTAAACTTGTGCGAATCAATAAATTTTGTAATGTGTAAACAGTGAAATATGAACAAAGAAACCGACTGTTGTAACTTTACGATCATTTGTAGAATTTTCTATCAACTGTAAGACCACGTCTCGACTAAGCTTTGGGAGATTAATTTGATTTATTGATTGACTAACCTTGGGAAGATTAATTTAAATTTGATGTGTTCAAGATTAATTTATGTGTTTTAGTAAAATAAAACGCACAAATGAACTACATTATTAAAGCACTAGATTATTATTATTGCTGTCCGAAACAGCAACAACAACAACAACAATAATAATAATAATAATACTATTTCAAATCATTGTGTCGCGATGTCAATATGTTTTCAGACAAAAAAGGATTAGGAATTTGACTTAAAACATTATAAATAAAAAATCACAAGGCAATTAATTTATCCAGTCATAACTGTGACATTATTTATAAAATAGAACACTTTTATCTGTAATTACGCAGACTTACCTGTTTCCAAGGCTAAACTGGTTCTCCATAACATCTGACTCTGTAACACAAGGATGCGGGTTCTGCCATTCGTAAGGACTGAACCGAGCCACAATGAACATTGTCGAACTAACTAGTACATAAGCAGCCAGGACATACAACCAGATGTCGACTGCTAAGGGACTCATGAAGGAGAACAGACGGACTGGCATGTTCTTTGGTAACTTGAACAGTATGCCGATGCCCAAATTCATGAAGGGTTTCGTGAAATCAATGACGCTTTCACGGGCGAAATTGATAGTCATCGGCGCTACTGCCAGGTCAGCATTCTTCATTTTATCATGAGAGAATGAAAAGTTAAATATCATTTAGCAGTTAAATGCAGGTGTACAAAATAAAGTATAATTTCAAATAAATTAAGCAAGATTCCAAAAATTCGAAGATCCAATTCAAATTTTCGAATTAAGTGGACAATAAAGGCTGTTCGTAAAATATGAAATACAGAATTCCTGAAATAAACATTATAGCTGTAAAATATGAAATACAGAATTCCTGAAATAAACATTATAGCTGTAAAATATGAAATACAGAATTCCTGAAATAAACATTATAGCTGTAAAATATGAAATACAGAATTCCTAAAATAAACATTATAGCTGTAAAATATGAAATACAGAATTCCTGAAATAAACATTATAGCTGTAAAATATTTCACAGCGACTTAGACAACATTTCAATCACGTAATAAATCAAAGTATAAATATGATAAATGAATTGATAAGAAAAGTTTGACGTAGTTTGAGTATCCGACTACATCTATAAAATTTATGCTTCATTTCCAAAATAATAAATTGAAAGTGTTATTATGAATAAATATTTATTTTTTTTTTGGAAGTTACAGGCTTTTGTATTTTTAATTAAGAAAGCTTGTTCGCAGGAGAATATATGAAATGAAACTAGAATTTAAATTTCATATATTCAAATCATCTAATTACCTAATTTTATGTCTCTGTGCAGCGACGATAGCTCTTAATCATTGTTTAGACAGCATTTCGAAGGAATCAAATTATCTTTGAGTTATGTTTGCTAGAACAAAATGAATAGCATTGAATAGTCTTAGAAGTCTTCCATAAATGTAACAAATAATAAAAATGTTCATATTTGCTCATCATTTATTTGAAGTATTAAAATGCAAATAAGGAATTATGTTTCGTTGTAGTTTTTTAATATTTTAACAAGTGCAATTCATTGCATACATGTTTGCACTTAAATAAATCATTGTTTATAACTTCGTTTGCGCTTAGACAAATTTAAATTATAGAAACGTATCGAATTATTAGTAAATAATATTTGACAGCTTACAATTACTCTTACAGAGTACTTTTCCTCATATTTAAGGTATGATATGAAATTTTTATGACGTGAAAAACATGTTTTAATCTCGTCCCTTCTCATTTCCATTAAGGTCTATTATCGAAACATTTTGTAAAATTATTACAGAATATTAAAGTATAAAAATACAAAAAAGTATGAGCTGAAAAACTGCTCAAAATAGCTAAAATAATATGGATTTACCTGTTCGAAATAACGAGAAGTAATCATGCTTGTTCTGGGATTGCGTGCTTAATATTCTAGATGTTCATTTCGTTAATCCTAACTTCAATAAGCTGAAAGTGCTTCAACCAATTATACTACCGAATATTAAGCTACAAAAATATTAATTGTATACAAGTCATATATGCTATGCAGTCTGATACGAATATTCAAATTATTATTTATTCTCTATTTAGTTACAGAAGATTATATAACAACATGAGAATATATACGCCATATAAGAGGCTTTGTTTGCATACGAAATAGTCATCTGAAAATAATCATAGTTTACCCAAAACCTTTATTAAATTTTATTAAAAATCAGTTCACAAAAGGAAAATGTTATGTTTAATCATAATGAATTATTGAATCTTTTAAAAGATAATTAAAAAATGGATTTAACTGTAATCAGTTTTTCTTGTGGGCAAATGTTAGTCTCTTTTTTTAAATGTGATTATTTAATGGCTAGGAAATCGTAAATCACAGTCATGATACATGAGATTTTCCACGACTTAATGCAGATTTATTTCGAATTTGATATAAAGAGATCAACTAGAAAGAGCTCTAAATTAATAAAGAAAAGCTGGAAAATAATTTTTAAAAAGAAATTACTGATGTTGATTTTCAACTTTAAATATACTTTCAAAATCTTATTTAAAACAACATACTTAATTTAACACAATTTTATTAGTTATATTTATGATGGTATAAAAGTATTACGTTCTTGATAAGTCTTTTATTCTCTGTGCTCGCAGGGCCAATAGCTGGATTTAGCCAATAGCTATTCTACTGAAGATGATTTTTTTTTGTGGTAAATAGACTAAGGCTGATAAGATCGCTTCATATGTTAAGATTGACTGCGATATACCATAATACCGACATGAATATTTTTCTTCAGTCTATTTTTACTCTCAGCGTTAAGGCCTCTCAGCGTTAAGGCCGGAAAATTCCGTACAGAAGGTTGCCTTCCACATTCATTATACATGAAAATTTCTAGACTTTAATGCCTCTGATTTCAGTTGGTGTAATTGGAAGAAAAGGAATCAAGGTACAAAATGAAAGAGTCATTTTTTAATTAAAATTAAGAAAATATCACTTATTCATGACATTTTGAGGAACTTTGAAATTTCAGGACGAAACCCGTAACGCTTCAGCATTTTCCTTCGACATAACAAATTTTCGAAAATTTACTAACTGAAATGGACAACGCGAGGTTGCTTAAAATTTGCTTCAGTGTAAAAAACATTCAAGCTTTTTCTGGAATATCATCTGCAGGTTTAAGCAGCAAAATTCAAAAATGAAATGCATGTCTTAATTGGTTCCTTTTCCTATTTTGTTTTCAGAAAACTTCACTTGCTGCAATTTTTGTGAAAAATTCGTGTTTAAACTAATGTGTATTTTTTGCCCTGTTATATTCACGTTTAATTTCTGTCGAAACAGTGCAAATGATTTCATTTCGAAACAGTGCTTTCATTTGCACCGCTTGCAAACGAATTCCTGGAGTACCACGTTTGATGCTAAGCAAATAGTACCTGAATTTAAAATTATCTGAAGGAAAGGAGGTAAAATAAAACAGGATTTCTCCTTTTATGAGTTATTTTGCTATTTAGAGAAAAGTAAAACACATTATTTGTACTTAAAAAAAATTAAAAATTTATGTCTTTTGGAGCCCACCAGCGGACGAGTGGTAAAGGCCGCTGAATACTGGTAATTCGGTCCGGAGTTCTATTCCCGGCGAACGAGGGCTGGCTGCATGGGCATTCTAGGTGTTTACCCCGTATGTGACGTGGTTATGAGCCTATTTGCCTTAGAAAGACTTCCACGGGCATCTGTCCCCTTTCGTGTAGAGCCTAAGGGAGGAGCATGTAATAAGAAATAATAAACATATTTATCAAAGTAATAATGATGTCTTTTGGAGGCTATGATTAAGGCTGAAAGACACATTGAAAAATTTTAGCCTAAAAAAGTTACTTTATTCCTTTTCCTAGAAACTTCCCGAAATTCTTTAAATTACTACTTTAAAATATACTTTCTTTAATGCATTTTTCACGTTAATTCGGCTTGCATACCTTTACTCATTATTCCTACAACTTTTAGAGCGTATCTTTATTGAAAGTTTCCTGCAATTTATCACTCTCAGATTCTCGCGGTATTTTTGAACGTAGCATATTAATGACATATTCGCCTGCACTAAGCATTGCAAAAAACTTGTCATAAGCATCGACGGATACAGATTACGAGTTTATAAATCTTATAAACTCTGCACAAGCTTTTTAGAAAATCATATTCGCCATAATATAGCAAAAAATAATATAGTAACGTGAGAGAATTGTTACTGTTTTTATTTCAGTATCTAAGGAAATGAGGTTATTCTTATACTGCTTAAGATGCCGAGACAAAGTTTTGGTGGTAAGTAATTTATTTTCTTAAATTTTTAAAGTTCCGTACAAAGGCAGAACTGTCAGTTTACAGTAACTTACATATTTGCACTCTGACAACAATGTGCATGCACCAACAAAAATGATTACAAAAGTTTATAGGCAAATGCATATTGATGTAGAGCAAAGATCAATTTAAAAGCGAAAGATCAAATTACATGTTATCTCAAATTACATGAATAATATTAAAAGAATAGTAAATCTTAAATTTAAAAAGTAATTTTAAATTAATTTAATCATTTCATAAATAAATATTAGAACGAATGTGATGATATCAATCACTTTCGTGTAAAGAAATTAGCATATACAACTGCGAATAGAAAGAGATATTACATCATTCAGCAGATTGTTATGGAAACAAAAAACCTATAAAATGTCTTAATAACAAAGGATGTCCTTCTCAAATGACTATAAGTACCGATACTTAATATAGTAATAGACTGATTTTTTTATTTGTGCATGAAGAGTTACAATTAGCATACAAGAAAAAAATCAGAAAGATCCATTACAGAAATTATTCAATTTATCAGCGAAATAGATATTATTTCAGTTGGAAAAATGTTTTATTAAATGGAATGAAAGAACATTTTCATTTACATAAATATTTAGTTCGAATCCTGCTGAATGCAATTTTCTAAATTGCGCCACTTAATTTTCTAGGGAACATTAAGTACTTATTCCACTAGCTATTCTTAAGAGGACTGTTTTTACAGAATATTTCGTTAAAATCACCAACTTTTAAATTCCTAAAACGCTTAGAAACGCATTTTATGTTTAATATAATTAACAAATAGTTTGAAAATTAATGTAACAAAAGTAGTTCTTTAATAGCTCGTTTAAAATATTTCTCCGATAATTATCAAGCACTTTTTCGTTCATATTTGTGCTATTATTTAAATTATTCTTTTATCCATCAAAGATGAGGCTCCCTCCGTTAAATGAGACTTGAAGTAATAAAAATTTTCTGTGCATTGTGTTACTTCTTTTAATAATTTTCTTCTTATGTAATATATGTAAATTTATCTTTTTTTAAACTATATATCTGTATCTTGAGCAAAACACCAATTAAAATTTGCAATAAAAATGAGTGACAATAAAACGAAAGTACAAATTGACAAGGATTGAAATGTTATAAAGAACTAAAGAAAGAAAAAAAAAGAAAAAAAATTAAACAATGCAATCTAATAACAATTTTGGTACTGAAATAAGGGTAAGCAATAATAATATGCAATTTTTGCTTAACTAGAAACTTTTGGAAACGACATAATACAGCAACATTTTTTTCACAAACGTTTTCG